CTTCTGAAAATATGTAATTATTGAAATATATTTAAAAAAAATATAATTAAAAAATTAAATCAAGTTTTGCTAAAAACAAGATAAAAAGTTGTGACTTAAGGAAATCCTAAAGTGGTTTGTTTTATCGATTTTTTTCAAATTCACATACTTTTTTTGGTCGTGTAGAATGAAAAATCTTTTTCTGTAATTAAAGCACATAAGCTAATACACTACAGACGATCGATTTGAAAAGATTTTTCAAGCGACGCAGCCAAAAAAAAATAAAATTTACGAAAAATAGAAGCCAAAACAGATATTGTATCTGGAAAATCCTTTCAAGTCGGCCGTAGTGTATTAGCATATGTACTTTAATTATTGAAAAGGATTTTTTATTCTATACAGCCAAAAAAAAGTATAGTGTATTTGAAAGAAATCGGTAAGATAGACCACTTTAAGATTCCCTTAACGTTAATATGTGAAAAAGTTTTATCAACAAATATTGTATTAGACTTGAGAAAAAGTATTTTTGTTAAGAACACTGTTTTATTAATAATTTTAATTGAACAAATTTGGATTAATTTAGAAATGAGTTAATGATGTCATCGTCTCCGTCAATAAAAAACAAAATAAAATAACACATTGGTTTAGCGGGAAACGTGATGAAAAGAAAATTCTAGAACAATGCTCAGATTTAGTTAAGCATTTCAACCGATTTCCGTGATTGACGCTTCCTTACTTCTCTTTATCGCACACGACGCACACGACGCAGCCGCTAGGGTTTCTTTTTGTGTAATTTTTTTCGTGAACCTATTTTACTGAAAACAAAAAATAATGAATTCCTAATTTAAAAAAATAAAATATGAAAAAGATTAAATTTTTTTGGTTTTTTATAAGATAAAATGGTCTTTTGTGGGCGGTATTCATAGTCCGTTCTTATTCCAGAATTATCTTAAGTACTGTCTTAAGATATTAATATGGCTTTCTGATTGCTTCATTGCATTTTAGGATCATACTTAAAAGAATTTTAGAGATAAGAACGAACTCTGAATAACGCCAATAACTAAAAAAAGAAAAAAAAAAAAAGAAGAAAAAGAAAAAAACGCGTTAGCAATAGTACCTTATTAGTGACGTGGAAATCTATTGAAATATTTCCACATAATAAATTTAAAAATAGAAAAATATTTTTAATAAATTTTTATAAATTTTAATAATAAAGAGAGAACATTCCACTCATAAATTAATAGTGTCGCTTCTAACACTCGGCGCTGGACCGAGCAACTTTGGCGCGCCCGATGAGAAGAGGAAAGGAGACGTTAGCCACGGAAATCGGCTGAAATGCTCGACTATTTCCAAGCACTGTTCTAGAATAAATTGAAATATAAATAAAATTAAGTTTTATTTAACTTACCGCTCACGAAATTTTTTTGATTTCTGATTCGTGACAAGCAAATGTTCACTTTTTTTCTCTAATGTATTATATGCCACAGTATTAAATCGTTTGCATACCATTCTAATCCGTGATAAAGTATATACATCACAGAAATTAAAAATTATTTCTAATATTTCGTTCGGCAAATTATACAAAACAGACATTTTTGTCTTCCTGATTGAACGTTACCACGTGAGAATATAGATATTATAACTGGTATGTTTACTTTACTGAACGTTATACTTTTTGATTTTTAAAGTGTAATATCTTCAGCTTAAGGTTACACGTGTTAACAATATGGTAGCTAATGAATGTTCTCCGATTAAACGACTCGACGACTGGACAAATATCCGTCTAGTTCCTAATATAATTGTAACGGTCAGAGCACCGCGTGCACTGTATCAAAATGTCCGTTAACCGTTTGAATTAAATCCACGTGCTCCGATTGGATTAACACCGACTGTACTATAATGTAGATCAGGAGTTTGAATATATCACTGGTTTACCAATATAAATGATGGTTTTTATTGCAATTTGCAAAATACACTTAATACTGGTTAATCGCTCGCGAGACTAGATCTAATTCTACGACGACTCTAATTCTCGACTGTTCCTAATGCCGGCTCCAAACAGAATGCTCCTTAACATTTGGCTTCGCATAAAGAAGCTGGTCTCGAATGTTCGAGAATGTTTTGGATTGTTCGCCGCATCCGGTTTCGTACGAAAGCATTGACTTAGGCCGAATTTCCACTGAGCGCGTCGCGTAACTAATAATAATAACTACTAATAACTAATAATAACTACTAATAACTACTTATGTAAATCTTATTAATTATTTATCTTATTAATTTATTTTATTTAAGAATTATATTTCTCTTATTTTTTCAATTCTATAATTACTTACTAAAATATTATTTATATTGTTCACAGTATCTCGTATCACTATAAGTATCTTATATTTTGTCTTGACAGATTAATAAATTTTATAAAAAATGGTTAGATGTATAGTACCAGGCTGCTCCATGACAAATAGAAAAAAATAAAAG